TTGGGGATGATTTTTCTGCTCAAAAAGGCTGCCCACGATAGGGGGTATCGGTACCCCTTCATAGGGTATTGATACTCCTTAATAAAATTCAAATTAAACTAACCGTTGCAACCAGGGGGTATAGATACCCCTGGGGGTATCGATACCATGTGGGGTATAGATACCATCCGAGCAATCTGGAATTTGAGCCTTCATGGGGTATGGATACCTCTGCAGGGGGTATCGGTACCCTATAACATTTTTGCTCAAATTCGAATTTTAATGGACTTTGAATTATTTTTGAAACCTTTTAAAGCTTCAATTTAAGTCCAAAAAACATTTTGTAAATTCAATTCAAGTCAAAAAAACATTTTGCCTTAAATTGTTATATCAAAACATAGTTCAACAAGAACTTAATTGGAAAAATCATAGAGATGATAGTACAATAATTATCTCTAAATTTATAGAATAAATTTATCTCAGGACAGGTTAAATATTTTTCATCTTAAATCCAAATATGAACCTAACTTGATCTCATCATCTATAAAATTCGACCTGACCCAAACTGAACTCATTTTTTTTTATAAAACAACCTCATCAAATCAAGTCATATCTAAATTTCTCTTATTTAAAATTAAACTACCATAGTTACTTATATACCCCTCTGTCCATTAAATTCTAATATTGAATTTTTTTATATTTTTTTAATTCTTGCTCATTATATTTAAAATTTATTATTGATAAAAATATAAATATATATATATTAAAAACTTTTAATCAAACAATAATTTTTAAATATATATTTTATGAAATTTAATTATTTAAAATAATCATAATTAAAATTTAAGAATTTAACTTTTAAAAAATTAATACTAGACAGACTTCATGAAAGGGATAAATATCTTATAATTATCAATTATAAATTATTGGATATTATAATGTAATTATTTTTGTGTATAAATTATAGGATAAATTATACTATTGACTACTCAATTATTTGACATTTACTTTTACCACCGATCTTTTAATTTTGTTAATCAAACCACTTGACTATTTAATTATTGTCAATCAAGTCACTAACTGTTAATATCTGACAAAAATATTGACGTGGTAGTTAACATAATTGGCATAATTCTATATTTAGTCCTTATTACTTACATATCCTAACAATTTAATCCTAATTTGAATTTAATTCAAAAAATCAATCATCCAATCAGTAGGTGACACATGTCAATAATTGATTGGAGAGCTTTTTAAATTAATTTTAATATTTTAATAAAATAAAGGTTCCACCAATCACGTGTCACCAGGTGAAAACAAAATAGAAATATTTTAGTTATTACTCCAATCATTATTGATGAGATTAATTGTAGTAAAAATATAAAAATAATCATTTATGAGATTAAATTAAATGTATATGTTTTATATAATTAACTATAAAATATTGTTAAATATTAAAACATTATATTCAAATTATTATATAATTAGATAATTTTTTTAATATTTGATTCTAATTAATCTATTAAAAATTTAATTACTATTGATTATAAAAAATATTTTTTAAAATACTTTAAATCAAAATTATTAAAAAAATTAAAGACGCTAAATTTATATATTGATATATTGAGAATGTAAAAATATATTTAATAAAAATATACTATAATCATTGACAATAATAATTTAATAACATTAAAATTATAATTGTTTTTATTTAAAAGATATTTTTTAAAATTTTGAGAAATAAAGCAAATAATGTTTGGTAGAAAAATAAAGTTCAAAATAATAATAAATATATACAAAACCATGTAGGAATCGAATTAGTCAAGACAAAACTTTGAAATCGGGAGGGAACCAATAATAATAATAATAATAATAATAATAATAATAACAATTGTGGTTTTTACCTTGGTGATTTTAGTTTGCTTATTCATCCCTTTGGTTTTAGGTTTGATCTCCTCCAAGCACCTTTAAACCTATATTTTTTTTCATCTTGAGCAAGTGGTGACCACCACCTGGTTGCTGGAAAATTTTACTTATTTGAAAAATTAAAATTAATTAAAAAAATAATCCAATCAGCTAGTGACATGTGTCACCAGTAAAATGTGTCACAATATTATATCGACATGTGTTATCTTTTGATTGGATGATTAATTTTTTGAATTAAATTAAAGTTAAGATTAAATTGATAGAATATGTAATTTTGTTAATTTCCACACCAACATTTCTGTAAATATTAACGCTAATGGCTTAATTAACAATAATTAAATAATTTATGGTATGATTGATAAAATTAAAAGATCGGTGATAAAATTAAAATGATTAAATAGTTGAGTGATAATAATACAGTTTACCGTAAATTAGATGGAGTGAAAATCTTTTGAGGTGTCATATGCAGCACGTTTTTCAAGACAAGAGGAAGGTAAGCCGTTTTTTCATATTAAGATATGGAAATTCAAATAAAAATTAAAACAAACAAAAGATGCTCACCTATCACGTGCATTAATTGTAGGAAAAATTCAATTCATCTGGAACGCCGACGCCTAGCAAATAAAATAAAGGAATTCCAACCCCCTATATATAAAAGGAGTTTTTGCTTGCGCCACAATCACGCCCTGTAATCTCAGTTTTGCCTCAAAACAAACGAAGAAGCGTTCTATTTTCCCTAAAACCCAAAGTGGAAGAAATCTTGAGTTTCCAATGGAGTGGATCCGAGGGGAAACGATTGGGTGTGGAAGTTTCGGCACTGTCAATTTGGTGCAACCCAAAAATGGAATCTCAAAGTCTACTCTAATGGCTGTCAAGTCTTGCCTACTCATCGACTCTGTTTCGCTGAAGAACGAGAAGGAAGTGCTCGATCGAATCGGTTCTTGCCCCCAAATCATCCGTTGTTTGGGTGGAAATCATACAGTCGAAAAGGGTGGGAGGTTGTATAATTTGTTCTTGGAGTACGCTGATGAAGGAAGCTTGGCTGATCAGCTGAAGAAAAGCGGCAGGAGATTGATGGAATCCGATGTTAGAAGATACGCAAGATCCATACTTAAAGGGCTACGCTTTGTTCATTCAAAAGGGTTCGTTCACTGTGATATTAAGCTTCAAAATATCCTTTTGTTTGGTAATGGTGATGTGAAGATAGTTGATTTTGGATTGGCGAAGCGAAATGGGAAAGAAGAAGAGGGAGAACAGAGGAGGATGGAAATCAGGGGAACTCCTCTGAATATTGCACCCAAGTGCCCAAACATCTCAGCGGTGGATATTTGGGCACTTGGATGTGCCATTGTTGAGATGTTTACCGGGAAACCAGCTTGGAATTTCAAATCAGGGACAAACATGGCGGCTTTGTTGATTAAGATTGGGGTTACCGATGAATTACCTGGAATTCCTCAAGACTTATCTGAGGAAGGAAAAGATTTTCTCGGAAAATGCTTTGTTAAGGATCCGAAGAAGCGATGGACGGCAGAGATGCTCCTGGATCATCCATTCATCACTTGTGATGATCAGATCGTTTCAGATTCAATGAATCGATGCGAAGAAGAATCAACATCACCGAGATGTTCATTTGAAGAATTCTCATCTTCACCAAAATCTCCTTTTGAATTCCTAGATTGGGTTTCTTCTCAATCGTCATCATCTTCTCAATCGAGCTCTGTTCCTTCATTTTCGAGTTACATTTTATCACCTTTGGATCGGATTCGTGAACTGGCTTGTGATGAAGCAGCCAGTTGGTCAATATCAGAGAGCTGGATCACACTGAGGTAGAAGAAAGAAGAGGGGAAGTTATAGTTTCATGGCCTTGGATAAAATTTGATGGCTTTGATCCAATTGATTTTTCATAGCAATTGGTGATGATTTTTTAATGTAAATTATTAGTAAAAACATAGATGAACCGACTTTTTCCTGATGAAGATTTCTCATTGGCTTCCCAGTTTGGCCACATGTACAGATAATTCCCAACGGATATCGAAAACTTTGCATTTTGCAAGAATTTTGTTGGCCCGTTTCAACTTCAAATTCCAATCAAATCCCACCTATTCATCAAATCTTGATAATAATTAGGATTTGTGAGGGATTATCAAAACTAAATCTTGATATTAATTGTTTAATTTATTATACCAATACCAATAGAGATGGGTGTAAAATTGAAGTAAAGAAAGCCACATGAATATGGTAGTGGATCCACTGCCATGCACATGATTAGCATGCTGATCCCATCACATCCATGTATATATACTCAATCAACGTGTTAAAGGTGATTCATTTGCTATAGAATAAGAAGACCCCAACTATCCTTTGCTTCATAAATTAAGAATTTATGAAGATATCTTGACCGACTCATATGATTCTCGTTTATGTTAGATTGAGTTTTTTTGTGCTTTTTAATGATTGATCTCATCTGAGCTATACTTCTTTCACAAGTGACGCGCACTAGCTGCAAAAAAATCAGAGTTCAATACTTTAATTATGATTAAGCTACAATGGAACTCTTCCCTTAAAAATGGAATGGGTAGTAGTTTGTTATTTGCCACTAATTATGGAGCAAGAGCCAGAGACTGATGGTATTGATGATGATTTAGCCTAGTAAGTCTTCATTTCTCCCTTGGTTTAGTTTTGGAGAGTTTGTCTTTGTCTATTTCTTATGTGTTGATGATGCGCTCGAAAAACAGTAACTGTTATGGTTGATATATGTAGGGCAACTACGCAAGTGACGGAAATAAAGGGTGAGAGAGGCTTTTAGGCAGAAGAAAGACTCGAGTTTTGGTGGCTGTGAAATGGATGAGGATTCTACTGCGCGTCTTTATATCCAGCCTCTCCATATGTACTCATCTCTTCGCTTCTTCGAAGCTTCTTTTTCTCATTCATATCTGAATATAATCCTTCAACTATACACACAAACGTTTAGGAAATAGAATATGCTCGCGTCCAATACATGCAAAGCATTAATTGGCCCATTCCATAAATTGAAAGTCTGTCTTCAAAGCGAATCACAATCATTAAAACTGATTGATACCGGAAATAGTACTCATATTGTTAAAGGAAATCATACTATAGTGTACCAAATTGCATATATTAACTACTATTCATTACATTGCAAGGCTCTCTCTTTGAACACTTCCTAACTCAGGCTCTCATACAACCATTTAATTTTGCTACGAATCACGAGAGGTCTTTGATTTATAATCAAATTGTAACGACTCTAACAAGCATTCCTTGACATTCCACCTAATAAGGCAGGGTGCTGTATACTAAGCCTTGACGCGAAAAATCTGACATATTATAAGTCCTCGTAAAACTATAAAAGCTATCCTGAGAGTTGTTTATTTTAGTCACAACAAAAACAACATACATGGAATAGAAAATAACCCGACGACAAAGCGATTAGGATAACTGACTGCCGAAGCAGATTTTGAGAACTGAACGGATCCGGAAAAGCTTCCTCCGGTGCTGGTCATTGGACTTGAAGAAGGCATAGAAATGTTCTTGCAAGATCCAAATGGTGCTCCTGCCTGTACAAGAAACAAGTTCGAAATTAATCAGGTCAGTTGAGCTGTACAAATTGCTGGGGAACACCATCAGAAAAGTGTCCAAAGGAGGAAATAGATGGCAAAATCAAGTTCAACATTGTAATTCTGCAGCCACAATCACACCAAGGCTTTCTTTTATTATCTTTCAACACTATCTTTTGCAAAAAGATATAAATCATGACCAAGTTCACCATTACTCCCCATCCTGCCTTGAACTAGATTCTTCTCATGTAAAACCAAAGAGAACAGGAATGTTTCTGAACTTCGGAAAATAGTTTTGGAAGCATGACTATTCTAATGCAAAAAAGGGATAAAATCAAGTTCATACACATTATAATTTGGATTAACTATAGCAAACAACAACCAGATGTTATAGAGATGCAAAAAAGGGATAAAACTGCAAACTCATTTGCAATACAGTGCCAGCGATATATAATGTTAGTAAGGGGAGTGTTTTTTTTTTTTTTGCAAAATAAGCCCTCAAATAACTACGAAAAAGCGGAACTAAAGTTGCCAATGCTTCCCGATAAACTAAATTCAGTTTTGGACGAACCTGACAGGCTGCAATAGTATTACATCCACATAATCTTTGACCATTCATGCTATCCAAATCATAGAAAACACCACCTCCGTCACTCCTCTGCAAGATTTATCTCGTGTTAGTGCTTTGCATATTTTAAAACAAAATTTTATATATATACACTTGTTACAATATGAATACCATGTAAAAATTGACTGCTATGAAGTTTGGCAGCATACTCCCTGCTGCTTTGAAGCAGGTGCCAATCATGTCAGCAAGGGGTGCTGAATGTTCTTTGCAAGCTTCATTCTCAACCGGGTAAGTTGGAAAGTAATTCATAAGGAAAAGAGAGACTCTTTTTGAATTAAGCGGCCGTGATTCTTTTCTTTTTGGGCATGAGCCTGGCTTTACCCCGGGATCTCCAGCTGAAACCAAAATACCATTAAACTGTTTACTCAATAGTCGGTAGCGAGTACAAAATATGAACCTAGAAAGAAGCATCATACGTATATAACCATTACCTTCATTTTCTAATATGTACTTCCACTGGTAAGCAATTCCTTCCTCCGCTTCCTTAGAAGCAACCGAGGTGAAAACCAGAAGCCTGTGATTTGCTTGCACCATTTCATTCACAGTAGGCCAATCTTCACCCTTTTTTGGCATCTTTGAGACCGGAAACCAATACTTGTCCAGACCGGCACTCGTGAAAAGGTTACTCAATCCTTTTGGTGTATGCACATAGTCCTCGATTATAATGGTTACAATCTCTGATGGATTCTGACTCAAGAATGCCTCCACTTCCCTCAAGGTGTTAATTGCAGGTTGCTGAATAAGGTCCAAATTCCAATCAACACATTGCAAATTGTATTGAAAAACTGGATAATTAAAAATTAAAAAGAAGAGGATGCACTATAACTGCTAAATTTCTAAGATGGAAAGACATATTACAAAGGCAGTGAAGTTGAAGCATTGTCCCCTGAATGAATGACATAGCCAAATTTCGCCGTTAAAATCGTACATGTCCAACATCAGTCCCCTCACTCCATTCTAGACAAAAGTCAACCACAAAGCAAATAAGTTTGAATATAGAGAAATCAACTGTTCATATGTTTCTTTAAAAAGAGAAGAAACAAGCCAAAATACTTCCATAGTTTGGGGGACCATAGAGAAGCTAAGTAAATGCTATTTAATACCAAACGGACAAAATCATACAGTGTGTATAAATAAATGGAACTTTCACATTATCAACTAACTAGACTAGATGTAATTTTAGCATATCATGCCCAATTCCTCCTTTTATTAGTTTCCTTTAGATTTTTTTTTGATTAGTCTAATAATTATAAGGTGTTTTCTTAGTCTACTGATAATGTACACACCCTGCAAACTAAGCTGCTTGAACCTGGGTCTTTTCACTTAGAATCGCAATAACTAACAAGGTCATTTAAAGGTGATGCAAAATAATAGAGAGTACACACCATCAATTGATTAGTAACAGTGTCTTCTTGATTGTAAAATGTCAGTCTTTGAACACCTTGCAGAGATGGTGCATCCACTATGCTGAAGGAATTGTGAGTCATCAACCATGAATATTTGTTGAAAGGCAATCCACCAATCTGCCCTCTCAAAATTCACACCAAAAACATGAATGCCCCATCAACAATTTGCTTAGCCAACAAAATGGAAGTACAAAAGAAGAGAAAAAACAACAACCGAATGGTAAAACCCCTCCATCACCAAAATATAAACAGAAATGGAAACAGAGAGCTCCCTTACCAAAAAGGAAACAAATTTAAACAACATTCTCAGTATATGAAAAAAGTAAGAAAAGGAAGAACACTTACAACAGAAGTGGGTATGATAGCTTGGCCTCTGGTACAAAAAGGTTGAGTCTTGCCCAAAGTTGGGCAGTTCCCACAATAAAGACCTGGACCACAATCTGTAGCCTGGGAACACGAGTCAAGAACCTGAAACAACCTCTAGTGAATTTAGCTCAAAACTGAACGGATCACAGAGAAAAAAAAGGAAAGCAAGGAAGAAAGAAGAAAGGAACCTGGCAGTTTCCATTAAAACAAGCAGCGGAAATGGTGATGAAGAAAGAGAAGAGGAACAGGAAAAAGTAACCAATTGCAGCAATAGATCTGCATAAGCTAAGGTAGTCCGTGAAACACGCCGGCATTATTAGTGTGTTTTGGCTTCCGTTTCGGCTTCCGTTTCAGCTTATGCAGAGCTCGAGGAAAAGGAAATCCAAGAAGGGAAGAGAGAGAGAGAAACTAAATCAAAGACAATATTTTTACTGTGTGAGTGTGATGCTGACACTTAACGCCAATAGACCGACTAAATTTATCAGTGCGGCAAAGATTTAGCAGGAGGGTGTCTCGTTTAATTTGTTTTATTTATAATATTAAAACTTAATTTATATTTTAAAAAATTAAATTTATTCCATTATTTTAATGATAAAAAACAGTGGCGAATGCATTAAGTTATGGGAGTCGAATATTATTTCATTATTTTAAAAAATAGTTAAATTTAATATGTGTAAAGAAAAAAATTACATCCTTATTATTTTAAAAAAACTTTATTTTTAAATTTTAAATTCTTCAATGATAAAAGATAATATTAATATTTGTAGATTTTTTAAATTTAAACAATATCATTTATAGGATGTATATATAATATTGATATATTAAATTTTTTGAATAAATATTATTTTATATTCATTAACTTATATTATTTAAAAATTTAGTATATCATTTTTTAATTAATTAATTACGATGATTTTATCTTTTGTATTATTGTCACCTTTAATTTTCTCTTATTTTAAGGTCGTACTTTTCTTTTTCATGTTTTCACTTTATTTGTAAGGTGCCATCATATTCTACAAAGGGCCGTTTATTTATAACATTTTTTTAAAGTTTACAAATAATTGAGGAAATATATTTGATGGTCAATCAAATTATTTATTTTATTTTTTTTTATATTTTCTTAGGTTATAAATTTTATATTAATTAAAAGTATTTTTTTTAAAAATCTCTATTTCCTTCTCTTTTGGGCACAATTAGGATTAGATTTTTTAATTTATAAAAAAATAGAATCAGTCACTTAAATATAAATACTCCTTTTTAATATTAAACTTTAAAAAGATATAAAATATAATTTAAATTATAAATATTATTATAAAATAAATATTTTATTGTTAGCTAAAATTAACCGTTATTAGGTTCATGTCCCATTTTCTCAGTTTTATCTATAACCCTCTGTATACATAGTATTCGAATTCGATATCTCAAGGAATAATAATAATTTTTTAACTACAATTATAGAGATCGTTTGATTTGTTCCAATTTTATTTATAATTAAAATTTTATTTTTACATTTTTAAATAATTATTCTATTTTTATTTTTTTAAAATATTTAAAAAATCATAATTAATTTTTTAAAATTATAAAAATATTTTTAAAAATTAATTTCTTTTAAAAATATCTTACAAAACATAACATTTCAATAAAACCATGTTTTTCATTGTTTACCTTCTCAGCCTCTCAGTTTTCCCAAACATATGATCAAGTATGAGCAACTTCTAGAGCAACAATCAAATAAAAAAATGGAACCATTATAATATTGAGATTGTCAAGTACTATATTCTCCAAAGATACTTATTTAATAACAACAAAGTTTTCATTCACCAAATCCAGGCCTTTATATACACATTCATATGCACTTTTTTCTGATTTAATCTTCAAGTATTTTTATAAAAAAAATCTAAATTTCAAAATACTTCATATATTTCTCGGTTGCGTGCTCTATTCCCAAGATTCTGTTTTCCAAAGAGAGCTTAAAACAATTCACTGAAATGAAGTTCCAATTTTTTTTTGAAATTTCTGTACTGACCAAAACAGTAATTAACAAAAAAATATGTCCACTTTATAATTTTTAAAAATTAAGTGACTAAAAAGATTATTTTTGAGATAGTTTAGTACCCATTTGTTAACTTTACCCTTTTTAAAATTAGGGACTGCCCTACTTTGAAGGTTATAGAGGTAGTGCCCCTCAAGATGAAAAGTGTTCAAAGAAGTTGCAACAAATAAATAATGGAGAATGTACATATTATGAGATGAAAACTAATGGGAACTTATATTATCAAGGGAGGCTAGTGATTCCAGATGTTAATGAATTAAAGAATGATTTATTAATGGAAGCTCACTGTAGTCCATTGACGATGCATCCAGGAGGAAACAAAATGTATATGGACCTCAAGAGTCGATATTGGTGGCTGGGAATGAAGAAAGACATTACGGAATTTGTATCAAAATGTTTGATTTGTCAGCCAGTTAAGGATGAGCATCAGGTTTCGTCGGGACTGCTACAATCAATTTCAATTCCTCAATGGAAATAGGAGAATGTAACAATGGATTGTGTGACGGGGTTGCCTTTAACTCCGAACAAAAGAGATTCAATATGGGTGATTGTAGACAGGTTGACTAAGTCAGCTCATTTTATTCCAGTACGAACTGATTTCTATATGGATAAATATGCTGAGTTGTATATCAGAGAGATTTTACGGTTACATGGTGTACATGTTTCCATAGTTTCTGATCGGGATCCTAGATTCACGTCACGATTTTGGAAGTCTTTACATGGATCATTGGGCACAAGACTGAATTTTAGCACAGCGTTTCATCCTCAGACAGATGGTCAGTCTGAACGAACTATCCAAATTTTGGAGGATATGTTAAGAGCTTGTGTTATCGAATTTAAAGGATCGTGGGAAAAATATTTGCCACTTGCTGAATTTGCGTATAACAATAGTTATCAGTCAAGCATCAAAATGGCTATATGAAGCTTTATATGGAAGAAGATGTCGTACACCATTAAACTGGTATGAACTTAAGGATCGAGAAGTTATTGGTCCTGAGTTGATTCAGGATACGGAAGAGAAAGTTTAAGTCATTCAGAATAATCTGAAAGCTGCAGCTGATAGACAGAAATCATATGCTGATTTAAAAAGGAAAGAAATTGAGTTTCAAATCGGAGATAAAGTGTTCTTGAAAGTGTCAACGTGGAAGAAAGTATTGAAATTTGGACGTAAAGGAAAATTGAGTCCTCGGTTTATTGGACCATATGAAATCGTTAAGAGAGTAGGACCAGTGGCATATCAATTGGCTTTGCCACCTGAAATGGAGAAAATCCACAACGTCTTTCATGTCTCCATGCTTAGGAAATATCGATCCGATCTATCTCATATTGTGACTACCAAAGATATCGAAGTTCAATCAGATTTGACTTATGAGGAAGAACCTGTTCAAATATTGGCTCACGAAGTCAAGCAATTAAGGAACAAGACTATTCCATTAGTCAAAGTGTTGTGGAGAAATCACAAAGTAGAAGAAGCGACGTGGGAACGTGAAGAGGACATGAAGATTCAATATCCCCATCTCTTTGTACAATGAAAATTCGAGGACGAATTTTCTTAAGGGGGAGAGATTTGTAACATCCCAAAATACGGGTTAGTGACTAAATTGTAAAACTTCAGAATTTGGTGATTAAAATAGAATAATTAGATAATTCAGTGATTTATCTGGAAAGATTGTTAGTAATTATTAAAAGAATTAAAGGGTAAAATGGTCATTTAACCGTTAAATGATTAAATTGTATTATGTTGAGGATATATACGGGGGAAAGGGATAAGAAGAATATCTCTTCTTCTCCACTTTGTTCTTCCATACGAGAGAAAGCCACAGCAAAGGCGAGTTTTCTATTTTCTTGGCTATTTGTTGTTTTAAAAGTTGGGTTTTGATCATTAGATGATAACTAAGCTTAAGGAAAGCTTAAGTTGTCTTATAATCTAAAGAATTTTAAGTTAAATTTGACTTGTCATCATGCTAATTAAGGAATATAAAGTGTTAGAATGGTATTTAGAACATATTGAAATTTGAGTATGATTCTTGAATTACATATGAATGATAGGATTTTGAAGTTATAGATGATTTACATGGATATAAGTTAGTTTAAGTAATGGTAGTTGAGTTTAATGACATGATAGAGGTTTAAAATAGAAGAATTAAGTGAAGAATTGATGATTTTCGGGGTTAAAATACAATTTCTGGGTAGAAGGAACTGATACCCTATAAAGGGAATCGATTCTCCCTCTTGGACGAAAATTCTAGTATGTGCAGGGGGAACAGATTCCCCCTGGGGGTATCGATTCCCCGGGAATAGATTCCCCCTTGGGGGGTATCGATTCCCCCCTAAATGAAAAAAATAGAATTTGATTCATTAAACTGGTTTAAGTTATTAACATCAAGTTTAAAGTTTAGGCTTCTGATAGTTGTTTTGAAATGATATATTTATGTAGATATTGAGCCTAAACAAGTTCTGGAATAATCAAAGCAAAGCTAAGATGAGTGCAATTTTAATTATAATTATATTATTGAACGAACATTGGCTTGCGATGAGCCAATGATGGAGTTACTATGGTAAGAAGTAACTCCTAAAATGTTATTTGATATGTGATTCTTATATGTACATGAATACATGATATGCATAAACATAAGAGCATGAAACATAAGATATATGATATGATATACATGATTATATGCATATGTGATATATGCTATGAGATATGACCAATGTGAAATGAAATAAGCTATGTGAATATATGAAATGACATATGAATATGCAATATGTGATATGATATAAAATATATGGTTACACATACATCTGGTATGTGACAGAAGAGAAAGAATAAGTGATGAGAAATATATTCATAATAAATCCCCATAGTATATGATACGAGAGTTATAGGTATAGTTGGCATGCCAAGAGTCGAGGGTATTGTAGCCCTTCGGGACGTAGTGGTCCTACGGGACATATATAGTCATTCGGGACGAATACTGAACAAATGTTCGGTGCCCCATGAGGGAATTTATACGAGCTGTGGTGACAGCATTGGTGTACAACCTCAATGTACTCACATACCTCTATTCTCAATAATATACATGGGCAACAACAACAACAATTGAAATATAAATTAAAGTGAAAGTGATGCAAAAAGGTAAGTTTCATGTGTGCATGACTTGATTATATATGTCATAGGAAATATATCCATGCATATTGAAATATCATGATCAAATAGTAAGAATGCATATTCATGAATCTACTGTTACATGTTTATTTATTGCCTCACTAAGTCTATGACTTAGCATGTAAGTGATTTACACGTAGGTACCATGAAACGTGAAGAGCAAGAATAGAAGTAGCA